TCTCCCCCACCCCCCCCCCCCCCCCCCCCCTTCATTTACCAGGTCAAGGCGTACCGTGATGCGGCGGGGCCCCGCGTGCTCCGCCAGCTGACGGAGAGCGTTCAGTCTGGCCTCGAGACGGGCGTTTTCCCTCAGGAGGCCAAGGACGCCAACGAGGCCCTCATCGAGAGCTTCAAGGTGTGTTCGTGTTTGTCTTGTGTGTGTCTTTTGTTTGCATCGACCACACTGATGGGCTGACAAATGAAATGACGTCAGTCTCAGTGCGGTTGTAAGCAGATATTGCTTCTAATGGCTTACCATGATCTCGGGCCCCGTGACGGAGGCGTCATGGGGGAGGCTAAGTGTGTGTGTTCTTGTGGGTTAGTGTGTCGATTGTATGTATATGCAGCGAAAACAGATGCTGGCTTCGGTGTGTGCGTCGATTGTGTGCTGTATCTGTCTAGAGAGCAGATGCTGGCTTCAAGGTGTGTGTGTGATTGTGTGCATTATAGTACGAAAATAGGTCCTGCAACACAGATGTCAGTGCGTACGACCGAACTGCCGGTTCCGTCTCATATTTTAGCGGTGTGTTCTGTGCCGTGTGTTCGCATACATGGTACGAAAACAGAGACCACCATGCACACCGGTGTGTCCCTGCACACGGCCGACGTGCCGTTTCCATCCCATATTTTCGCGGCATGTACCATGTGTGTGTTGGTTGTGTGTATATGGTACGAAAACAGATCCCACACCGCACAATGCGGTATCAGTGCGCACACCTCACTGCCGGTTCCATTCCGTACTTTCGCGGGGCATTCCGTGTGTGCGCTTCTCGGCCTATGGATGACAAACGTCGTCAATCTTCTAATCCCCGCAACGAACAACGAACACTTGTGTACGTGCTTGGTGGTGTACGTGCTTGGTGGTGTTGGTTTACTTTGTGTTGGTCTAGCATGCCCCTCTTTTGAAACGCCGCAGATCCCGCCCTCAATAAAATAAAAATCGTCTTGAAGAGGCGATGAAGACGACGCTCTCCCTTTGTTTTTTTTGTTATCCCTGTTGTTTTTTTCCCGCCGCCATCTCTCGCCAAGATCCCGTACGTGGTGATCGCGGAGCAAGCGAAGGACCTGTACAAGAAGACCCTCACCGCCTACGCCGGCGGCAACCGCATCATCACGGTGGACGAGAAGGACAGCCTCGACAAGATGGCCGAGTTCCTGTCCATGGACTCCTCTGCGGTCGATGAGATCCACGCTGAGGTAGGTTGGCCGTGGCTTTGGAAGTGGTCGTGTTGTGGCTGTGTGTGTGCTTTTTGGGGGGTGTTGGGGGGTGTCGTCAGGCAGGAATGATGGCGACGTGAGCGTTGGTTCGAGTTGTCTGGTAGCGGTGGTTGGGGCTGTGTGTCTTTTTGTTCGGTGGGAAGGTCGTGGTGTTGGTAACGTGGGCGACGCGTCGGACTGTTGGGTAGCAAAAATGGTCCTTGCAGCGTGGTGACGCTTGTCGTGTTGGCCACGCAGAGGTGGTTGCTCGTCTTTGCCACCCAAGGATGCCCTATGTCTTGATGATCTCCGCTGAGCCCCCCCCCCCCCTTTCCCTGATTGTTTTGTTTTCCGGTGGTAATGACAATCGTCTTTCCACCAAAGTATGCCTTATATCTTAAAAATCACCGCTGCGCCCCCCCTCCCCGTTTGTGCCCATTTCCCGTGTGCCCCCGTCTTGGTTGTTTCCAGATGTGCTCCACCACGTTCCAGAAGGCAGTGGCCGAGTCCATGGGAGCCACCGGCGTCGTCGCCAAGGAGTACCGCTCCAAGCTCGACGAGTTGGCCGTGCGCCTGGGGCTCTCCCTTGAGTCCGCCAAGCTCATGTTCCACGCCGCCATCCGGCAGAGAATGGGCCCGATGATGCAGCAGGTGCGTGTCTTCACGTGTGACGTCACCTGACCTGATATTCCTCGTGCTGGTGCGTAGTTGTTTTTGCGTGTGCGTTTGATGTGCCTTGAGGGTTTACGGATTCCTCGTGCTGGTGTGTAGATTGTGGCATTGTTTTCTTGCGGGTTTGATGTGCCTTGAGTGTTGACCGGTTCCTGGCGTTGTTGGAGATTGTGGCGTTGTTTGCGTGTGCGCTTCGCGCGTGTGTTTTTGTGGTACGGTAGCGGGTCCGTTTCTGTTCGGTACCGGTTTTCGGAGCGTTTGGGCGTTCGTTAAGATTGACGCGGTTGTTGCTTGAGGTGGTGACAAGGGTCATCCACGGTGGTCGTGTTCTTGCTTGGCGAATTTTGTGTGAGCTGTTGTTGTAGCTGTTGCTCCTCCAACCTGCTGCCGCCGCTGCCGCCGCTGCCGCCGCCGCTGCTGCTGCTGCTGCTGCTGCTGCAACTACTACTTTTGACCTCTTTGCAAACTTCTTCCTCTGCTGCTGCTCCTGCCTGCATCAGATCATGTACGAGTTCGAGCGCAGCGTGTTGAGCAAGGACCAGCTGGCGCAGAAAACTGGCAAGGACATGGGAGATGACGTCATGGGAGCAGAGGGTGAGTTGCCCCCCGCGCACGCCGCATATGACGGAAAATTCTCTCTCCCTCGCTCAAGTGTATAGCCAGCCGACGCTGAAAGATGTTAACGCTACATATGCACCCACCGCATAGATTGAAGGTCGTAATATGACTGCATGCAGATTTGTAAATTTTTCTTTTTGGCTGGTTGAGGTTCGCTGGGCTGTCCGTGCTTGGGAAGCGTCACTGATGGCAGCTGGCGGTTGATTCGCGCCAAAACTTGATTTTCATCTTCCATCACGCCTTGATGACACTGCTGCTATGCCGTGATAATCCGGAAGAGCGCCGTGTAGTATGAAATCATCTGTGCGTTTTTTTGTTTTGTTGCGCCGAACAGGAACCTTGGGTATCGAGGGGGGTGCGGCCGTAACCTCGGACGTGCTAGCCTTGATCGACTTCTACGTGGACAACGGCATCATCGAGGAGGGAGAGGACGGAGCGGAGGACGTCTATCCCGTCACGGCCAAACAGATCGGCGGCAACAGCGACGAGGTTCGTTGTTGGTGTTGCTGGTGCTGCTGGTGGTGCTGCTGCTGTCGCTGGTGTTGGTGCTTAAGGTTGGGGTTGTTGGTGTTTTGGTGGTGTTGGTGCGGCTGCGGCTGCGGCTGACGCTGACGCTGTTGTTTTGTTGTTGCTGCCTCTTCCCCGGTCGGTTGACCGAATTTTCCTCTCTTTTATCACTGTTGCTGTTGTTGCCTCGTTTTCACGGTTTCCCCGTTCATTGATTCACGGTTCGCTGTTTCGTGGTGTTCCGCCCTCCCGTGGGTATGATGATGATGATGATGATGGTGGTGGTGTCGGATGACGTCGCGGTCCGCAGATGGTGGCGGCGCTGTACCAGAACTTCGTGGTGAACGGCTTCAGCGTGGAGGGGGAGCAGCTCAAGCGCTACGAGCAGGGGCAGAGCAAGCTGGCGGGCATCCTAGGCCTCGAGGCGGATGTGAAGATGAAGGTTCGTACGATCGTTTTTTTTTATTTTTTATGTATTGCTTTTGCTTTTGACTATGATACAACACGAATCCATCTCCTCCGCAGATCAAATCCCGGGATAGATTTAGAAAAATGACTTGATAGCGTCAGCGGGGGTCGCTGCGTCCGGCGCAGCAGAGTCTCGTCAGGAGAGCCTGAGGCAAGCGCCAAGCCTAGAGTTTACATAGCGCGTTGGATAAATTTTTCGCAGCCTGGTGGAGGGGCTTGGGCAGGCGGGAGGGGCGTCGAGCCAGCCGGCCGCGAAACTCTCTCTGATCACTCGTGTCCATTCCCAGTAAGATGAATCACGTGTGTTTTGCTTCAAAGCACATGTGACTTGTCTTGTCGGGAAATGCGGCAAAGGGTCAGAGGGCGTTTCGCAGCCGGCTCGCTCGACGCTCCTCCCTCCCGCCTGCCCGAAGTCCTTCCACCAGGCTCTCGCCCGCGCATCGACAAGTCACCCAACGCTATCGCTAGCTCGTCCGGTTTGTGCTTGCCCGCGGTTCCGCTGACGATACTCTGGGCATCCTCCTGTGCACTTCGAAGGCCTGGTTGTGTCCATGCGTGTTCTTCGACCGCACTGACCGCCTGACCAATGAAAATACGCGAGTCTTGTAGCCGCCCCCTTGGTGTCTTGGTGGTGTATCCCCCAATCGTCCGGTCACTGTTCGACGCTTTTGGATCCCGATTTTGCACATCATGTTGAGTTTTGAACACCCAAAACAATTTTTCTAAAACGTTACTTCTTCTGTAGTCAGATCCACCGAGCTTTCTTTCGTCTTTCCTGTCCACTGCCTCCCCCCTCCTCTCAATCGCCCGCGCTCTCTTTTGAATCTACCGCTTTGTGAATAACAAACAAATTGCGTCGGCGTCGTGAACCTCTCGTCAGATCCACCGAGAGATCGGCGGCACCGTGATCAGGCGCTTTGTGAACCAGGAACTCGCCAAGCAGGGCAAGATGAGCGCTCAGGGGGTCGCGTTCTTGGCCAACATCAACTCCAGGCTCAAGATGCCCCAAGAAGTAAGTGGACGAATGCCGCTGCTGCTGTTTTTGCGTCGTTTTGTCCAGTTTGTTTTGGCGGTCGCCGCCGTTGCTCATGGGACACAAACTGCCGTCGGCCCTTGGTTTTCGTGTGTGTGTTTTTGTTGTTTGCATCGACCGCGCCAACCGGCTGGCCAGTGAGAGTGCATCAGTCTCACTGCGGTTGAAAACGCAAAGTTCTTCCAGAGGCCATGATCGGGGGCCCCGTGAGCGGGCGTCATGCGTGTGCATGCGTGTGTGTGTGTTTTCATGGTGTGGGACGTAGATGTGCCGGTGGGTTTCGGGTTTCGTGACCCACCACGTCACCTCGGGGGCGCCGTTCCACGAATGCGTCCCGTCACGTAACTTATTATTTCCGTGTCACAAATTCGTTCCGGTTCACAAGGTCGCTCCGTCCCCCCGCAGCACAGCTCGTTCCCGGTTCACAACTCTCATGTTTGACAAGGAGTTCCGTGTTACAAGTCATTCCGGTTCATAGCCCGTTCCGTTCCAACCCGAGTTCTGTGTCCCAGCTCGTTCCTTACCGCAACTTGTTCCGTTCCGCAACCAATCCCGCGCCATCGTCCCGCGTCACCTCTTCCTCTCTGGCCCCGTTCGTCTTGTGACGGTAAACCCGTACCGTGAATGTATTCAGATGTTCGAGTCGATGGTGTCGGACTGCAAGCAGGACTACGTCCGCAGGATGGCGGACGAGCTCTTCAGAGTCAGCGTGGTAAGGATCGAGAAGAGAGGCTCCAGTTCTAGAAACCGAAACGCACAGCTAGCAAGGCAGTGCAGCTGCAGGGGGCGGTTGAGAAAGAGGAGACTCAACTTCTAAACATACGCGATGCACGGCCACGTAGCACGGTGGTGCTGCTGTTGGAGGCGGTCGAGAGAGGGGCTCGAGTCCTAGAAAACAAACTTGCGCGGCTAGCACGGCAGTATAGCAGTAGGGGGCGAATGAAAAGTGTGTCTAAAGTTGTAAACGCGTATTGGACTAGGACGGAGGACCGTTGACAGTTTCGTCGAGCAACCACGGAGTTGCCGTTGTGTCCTGATCGTTCGATCTTGCGTCGTACGCTGGAATGGTCTTTGGTTGGTGTGTTGTTGTTGTCGCTGCCTCCCTCAGCCAGCGCAAACAGAACGCGTCTGCTCAATACACTTTTTGTGACGAGTGCTGGATGCTTTCTGTGCCTCCCATCCACATTATCGGTGTTCATTTCTCCCCCTCCTCCACATATACTTTACGTTTTTGTCGCGTCGCAGCTTTCCGCTAAGGAGTGCAAGAGGCTGAGGACTATCACCGAGAACTGCGGGTTTACCCTCGAGAACGAGGGGCAGCTGGGCCTGTCGGCGCGCAAGAACATCTTCCAGATCGAGGTGTGTTGCTGTGGCTGTTGCTTGCGTCGTTGTGGCTGATGGTGGTGGTGGTGTTGCTACTGCTGCTGTTGCTGTTGTTCCTGGTGCTTGCGGTGTTGTTGCTGGTGCTTTGGCTGGTGCTTGCGTTGTTGTTGTTGTTGCCGTAGCTACTGCTGTGACTGATGCTGTGGCTATTGCTTGGGTTGTTGGTGTTGCAGCTACGGCTGTTTCGTTTGTTGTTGTTGTTGCTGCTGCTGCTGCTGCTGCTGCTGCTGCTGCTGCTGCTGCTGCTGCTGCTGCTGTTGCCGTTGGTATTGTGCCGGTGTTGTTGACCCCACTGCTGGATTCGTCTCGTCTCAACCTTCCCGAACCTACTCACCCAAGCTAGCTTCTCGTGCCCTCAAGACACCCAAACCTCAAGTCTGTCTTGTTGTCGTGAGTTGCACTTACAGTCGAGTCGACATCGCTTGCCGTGCGCTTGCTCGGGCAGGCGGAGGACATGATCGAGAACGGGGACATGGAGGGGGACGACGGCAAGGACTTCGTAGAAGAGTTGCAGGCGAGTTGCTCGGCTGTTTCAAATGTACCTGCACATTGGTTTTGTTCTGCTGAGTTTCTACATAGTCCGACCGATTCTTGTCACTCTCTCGCTTTTTTTTTGTTTGATCTTGACTGTATCTGTCTTTTTTCGGAGCTTGTCCCAGACACCGCTGAAAGTGCCCATATATATTTTGGCTATTTTTGTATTTTCCCGCAAATAAAAAATCGTCCCTGTGTGATGCCGGTTTGTACCAAACTGTGTAGACTGGCGCCAGAATGGATGGGACGAGAAACACACGACATAGGCATAGACACGTGAGGACGGCAGCATTCCGTAAAGGGGATTGCCTCCTGGCACTTCCCCGTTAGCTCTCTCGTTTCTAATTTTTTCTTGCCGTTGCTCTCTCGTTTTTTTTTTTTTTTCCTATTTCGTGGCTGTAGATGACCAATGAATATATTACAGGAGTCTTTCGAGCCCCACGGCGGAGGCATGCGGTTGGCCCGTAGGTTGCATAAGATACCACACCCCCTGTACCAAATTTCAAAGCTCGTTGTCCCACGACGCAGACGATGCCGAAATCAAATGATGCACTTTCGGAAAGCTCTCGACGAGACAGTTCTCTAGCCGCCATTTCCGGAACCAACCGCCTCTCCTTCTGCTGTGGAGTAATCGAGCTCTGGAAATCGGCCAGTAGGGGTTGTGGTGTCTTACGTCATGTCACCTACGGTAGTACCTTAGGTTGCACGATGTAGGATACCACAACCCCTGGACCGATTTTCAAAGCTCGACTATTCCATGACGAAGGGGCAGGGGTTGTGGTATCTTACGTCATGTCACCTACGGTAGCAAACACTCCCGTTACTCTTGTCGTGTTTCTTGTATTCTTTTCCATAACTGTAAACAACCAACGTCCACTATTATTTTACAGGAGTCTTTGGGCCTGACGACGGAGGACGCGCAAGACGCCCTGGTGGCGCTGCTGGAGAGCAGGTCTAAGGGCATCCTCGAGAACGTCAAGGCTGACGCCATCGAGAGGAGAGACGCGAACATCCTCAAGGCCGCAGAGCGCCTTCTCAAGTGAGTTTTTCTTTTTTTTTTTTGAACACTTTTTTTTCGGTGGTGGCATCTCGATGACCGAAACAATATACGGAGTAGGCGAAACCATCGTTCCTTTTTTCTGAACGGAGTGTTGATATCTATTTACGGTGGTTACACGCTATGTTGGAGAAGAACGGTTTCGTCATCTATGGGCTCGTTGCTCTGATATTGCTGCGAAAGAAAGCACACGGAGTGGTGTTCGGCCGGTCTATGCGGTCTGACGTCACCCCCCCCCCCCCCCCCCCAAAAACCAAACGCCCCCCCCAGTTTGCCCAGCCCCCACGGGAGCTCTTCCTGGGGGGTAAAAACACCCCATCTCCTTTGTTTTACAAAATTTTACCCATGTTTTTTTCTGTTGAACAAAACATTTTTTGTCTTGGCGGGTTGGGGTGGGATCCCTGGGAACCCCCTCTGATTGGGCTGGCATAACTGGGGTGGCCGCCAACGAAAACGGGAACCTTTTCCCCAAAAAATACCGGTTTTCACTACCAATACCAACCAAATAATTTCTCCCTGTTCGGAAACTCTTTTGGGGAGTTGCGTTCCCCCCCTGGGGGGGGTTTTTTTATTAATAATAATAATTTCCAAGGACCGCCCACTGGG